ACCTCAAAAGTTATGTTGACTTGATTATCACAAGTTCGGAGCCGCACTTGGCCTCGATGACCTTCGCCCCCAAGCTCTTAGCTTGTTTGAGACCTGCAATCATGGCCTCATACTCGGCCTCATTGTTTGTTAATTTTGAAGTTTTGATAGACTGACTAATTGTATTACATGTGGGTGGCATCAAAATGATGCCTAGCCCGGATCCCTTCACGTTCAAAGCACCGTCTGTGAAGAGGGTCCGCACCCCCGATGATGTACCCGATTTTAATAATAGTTCCTTTTCAACCTTGGGTACGAGGGTTGGGCATGAAATCGGCCACGAAGTCTGCTAGGATTTGAGACTTGATGGTCGTTCGGGGTTGATACTCGATATTGTACCTGCTGATCTTGATGGCCCATTTGGCCAATCGTCTCGATAGTTCGAGCTTGTGCAAAATGTTGCGAAGGGGGTAGGTAGTTACAACACAAATTGGGTGACACTGAAAGTATGGTTTTAATTTCCTAGAGGTGCTTATCAAAACAAGCGCTAATATTTCTAAGTGTGGGTATCGGGTCTAGGCTTCACCTAGGGTCCGACTAACATAGTAAACAGGAGATCGCGTATCTTGATCTTCTCAAACTAAGACCCCAGTTACCGCTATCTCTGAGACCGCTAAGTATAAGTAAAGTTGCTCGTCCGTTTTCGGTGTGTGAAGCAATAGTGGGCTCGATAGATATCGTTTGAGTTCCTCTAAGGCATGTTGATATTCTGGGGTCCATGCAAAATTTCTCTTCTTCTTAAACAGTGAGAAGAACTGGTGGCTCCTATCTAAGGATCTTGAAATAAATCGACACAGGGCGACTATGCGCCCGGTTAACCTCTATACAGCCTTGACATTATCAACAACTGTGATGTCTTTGATTGCATTAATTTTATCGGGGTTGATTTCGATCCCCCGATTTGATACCATAAAGCCGAGGAACTTGCCCGAACCAACCTCGAATACAGATTTCTCCGGGTTGAGCTTCATGTTGTATTTTCTTAGTGTGTCAAAGGTCTCCTGCAAATGTATCAAATGGTCCTCTACTTGCAGGGACTTAACTAGCATATCATCAATATAAACCTCTATTGATTTACCTATTTGTTCTTCGAACATTCGATTTACTAGGCGTTGATAAGTAGCACCAGCATTTTTTAGTCCGAACGGTATTACATTATAGCAACAGGTGCCATATTTAGTAATAAATGAAGTATTTTCATGATCCTCTAGGTTCATTTGTATCTGATTGTACCCGGAGTAGGCATCGAGAAAACAAAGGATCTCGTAGCCGGTTGTGGCATCTATCATGTGATTGATATTCGGCGAAGAAAAAGAATCTTTAGGGCATGCCTTGTTTAAATCCTTATAGTCTACACATATTATAAGTTTGCTTCTCTTTTTAGGGACTACAACTATGTTTGCTAACCATTCGGGATATTTTACCTCCTGAATGGATCCTATATTGAGAAGTTTTGTTACCTTGTCCTTAATGAATGCATGTTTTACCTCGGACTGAAGTCTTCTCTTTCTTTTCACCAGGCGGAACTTCGGATCCAAGCTCAGTCGATGCGTAGTGATCTCCGGTGGAATCCCTATCATATCTAGGTGGGACAAAGGAAAACAATCCATGTTATTTAAAAGTAATTGAACGAGTTTTTTCCTGAGCTCGGGAGTTAACCCTATGCCCAGGTATACATTTCGATCCAGCAGATGCTCAATCAGCATGATTTGTTCCAGCTCTTTGACCGTTGACTTCGTTGCATAGGAATCATCGAGGATTATGAAGGTTTGATGTATCATATAATCATCATCCTTGAAAGTTTCCTTCTCCTCCGATCGGGTCGATGCCGGAGACTGTGGTTGCTATTTGACTTCTTGTTTTCCCTTCGATTTCGATCTCTTTATTGATGACAGCGCCGATACTGGTATTACCTCATTGATTGCAAATATTTCTTTGGTGGTGGGTTGTTCACCATACACCGTTTTGATTCCTTTTGATGTTGGGAATTTCAAGATTTGGTGAAGCATCGAGGGCACTGCTCTCATATTATGAATCCAAGGCCTTCCGAGTAGTGCATTGTACCTCATGTCACCTTCGATCACATGGAACTTTGTTTCCTGGATAGTTCCGGCCATGTTTACTAGCGGAATGATTTCCACTTTGGTGGTTTCACTTGCCATGTTGAAGTCATTAAGTACCCGAGCTGCGGGCACGATCTGATCTTGGAGGCTGAGCTGCTCTACGACCCTTGATCGGATAATATTTGCTGAGCTACCTGGATCAATCAACACACGTTTAACTTGAATTTTATTCATAAGGATAGATATTACCAGTGTGTCGTTGTGAGGTTGTTCGATCCCTTCTTCATTATCGTCGTTGAAAGATAAGGTTTTTTCTAGTAAGTAGTCCCGAGTTCGCTTCTCCCTCGTGATTGTCACCTTGGTGCATTTAAATACTGGTCCTTGAGGAATATCGACCCCACCAACTATCATATGAATTACGTGTTGTGATTCTTCCTATTCATTTTTCCTATTTGCATCCTTATCTCTAAAGTGATTTTTAGCTCGGTCGTTCAAGAATTCTCTAAGATGACCCTCGTTGAACAAGCGAGCTTCCTCCTCCCTCAATTATCTGTAGTCTCCGATTTTGTGACCATGGGTACCATGGTATTTGCATATTTGGTTAAGGTTCCTTTGAGCTGGATCGGTCTGTAGGGGTCTAGGCCATCTAGTATCCTTGATTCGCTCGATAGCTGATACAATACCCGATGCGTCGATGCTTAGGTTGTACTCTAACAGTCGTGACGCTTCTGTGGGCTCGACATGTTTATCGAAGCCACTTTTACTCATGATCCCTTGGGAGCTCTGTCATCGACCATTCCTTCGATCATTTCGAATAGGATTATGTCATGGGCCACTGTTTCGACGATCTATGTTGTATTGTTGAGATCAATCTCTGTTTGATAGGGGTTCTCTATCGATGTCCCTTTGAATTCTACCGATGGGCCTATTTGGGTAAACAGAACCGGAGGGAGTTCCCAATTGATTATCCTCGACCCTGATCTTCGACTGGTATCGATTACGTACATCGGCCCAGGTTACAACTAGATATTCAATTAAATTATGCTTTAGTTGTCATGATGCTATCTAACTTCGTTCGTTCAAACCTTGAGTAAAAGCTTGAACATCCCAATCATCTGTGACGGGGGNTCTTACTTTAAAGAGGTCTGACTTCCTAGTCGCAACCTTTATTGCTCCGGCGTGTTACTTTAAGAACGAATCTGCAAGCATGGCAAAGGAATCGATGGAATTGGGCGGAAAATTGTGGTACCATATTATCGCCCCCTTTGATAAAGTCTCTCCAAAAAATTTCAATAGAACGGATTCAATCTTATCGTCTTCTAAGTCATTTCCCTTTATTGCGCATGTATAAGAAGTAACATGCTCATTAGGGTCGGTGGTCACATTGTATTTGGGAATTTCTGGCATACGAAATTTCTTCGGAATGGGCTTCGGAGCCGCACTTGGAGGGAAAGGCTTCTGCACGAACTTCTTCGAATCCAAACCCTTTAGGATTGGGGGTGCCCCCAGTATTTGGTCAACCTGCGAGTAGTATGTCTACCTATTTGTCATTAGCCTCGATTTGTTTTTCACCTGATTCGATCTGCTAAGTGAGCTCCTCAAGCATCTTCATAATGGCGGGGCCAGTCCTCGATTCATTGGCGTTCGATTTCTCCGGTACAGGCTCAACTCTATGAACAACCTCTTGTGATGTTTTGAGCTCAATTCTGCTTGGTGCTCGATTCTAATTTTCGAGTTGCGTTATTGCAGCTTGTTTTGTCTGCAACATTTTGAATATCATTCGAAGGCTAATTTCGCCTCCTTCACCGTTATGTGTGTTCTGATCGACTGCTCGGGCATCTCTACGAACACTATTTCCAGGGTCGACGCCCAGATTTGCATTTAGGGTGGCATGCGAACTGATATCGGTGGGGTCTGCGATCGGTACTGCCTCGTGGCCAGCCTGAGGCACTTCGATCCCTGGGGCGGCTACATTATCGTTTTCTCCATGGAAACCGAGGTCGTTATCGGCGTGAGTGGGTACTGTTTGCGAGTTAGACATGTTGATCCTGAAATCAAAAACACTCACTAGAACAAGCGTAAAGCAGTGTGTGTTACGAGAATTAATTCCAGGCAATCACTATTATCTTTAGCCCCACGGTGGGCGTCAAACTGTTTACCCTTAAAATTGGATAAAAATTAAACTTATAATGTAGTTTTAAGGACACGTGATTTCACCTAATACCAATTGATAAATGTAAAGATTAGTAATAGAAATTAACAATAGGATAAAGCATACCAGTGTTTGAACGAAATTCAGTCCTTGAGCTTGAATACCCTCGAACTGATTTGTGCAAGAACAGTTAAGATATAACAAGCTGATGAACAAGAATATGAGCTAAAGAAAAGGCATTAGCTTTGATAACTCAGAGTGTAAGGTGGATACAAGATGATTAGAACCGTGTTTATATAGTAGAGGAATCATATATATGGTATAATTCTAATTATAGAAGCAAATCACATGATTAGCTAAACAAACGCCCTTGAATTGATCTGTTCCGAGATCTCCGCCGCGATCTTCGACCAGTCTTAGATATCTCGCCTTTCTGTTATTGTACTTTGCACGATGTCTGCCTCATTTGGTCTCGATCGCTACTGGTCTCGATCTCAACAAATACCTCGATCCTCGAACTCGATACCTTATCCTCGTACTTTGGTCTGACCCACTGCGGGCCTGACCTTCGATGCATTCTTCGGCCTCGATCAAATAGTAGAATCGGGTAGGCCCGATTTTAACATTATACAAGGAGGCTTCGTATTGATACTAGACATTGTGAACTTACTCGATCCTGTTGCATAATCATGATACGACAAATGATTCGCAATACATTGATCTCTATATTTTCTTATGTCTTGAAGTCAACATGAATTTATCTTTTATTCCATGAGATCTGAAATGATACGAGTACATTTGAGATATAAATCTCATGTCATATTCTAGGAATCTCAAAAGACTACTTTCTGCTGTAAGAAAATGATACTTCCACAAAAAGTTGGATTTACTGTAGATTAAAGAGGGAGTAAAATGTACATGAGTTGGGAAAAACCAAGATACACACGAGGAAACAAATACTATGTAGAAAGACGCCTAATCACCAGCCCAAATATATGACCATGGTTTGCACAGCATGTTGAGCAACACCTAGATTTCACTGGATATTGTTATTGTCTCAATAACATCCCCAGCAATCTCACGAGGAGCTACAAAAGGTTTTGGGGGCATCTGCAGGAGTTGAACATCTCCTTCAAGCATTTCAACAACTTTGTTCATTGCAGGACGATCAACGGGCCTCATCTGTATGCACCGCAAAGCCGCAATCATCATCTTCTTTATAATAATCCTTTCTTCATCAGTGGTATCCGGTATCTGTACATCATTTCCTGAATTGAATTGGTCGTAAACCCAGGTAGGAAAGTAAATTTGGCTTAAGTGGTCTGCGAATGGGTTCATGTTCTTCCTTCTGCCTGCCATTTCCATCAACAACATGCCATAACTATAAACATCGGCTTTGTATGACACTCCTCCAATATTTTTATAGAACAACTCAGGAGCCATGTAACCCATTGTCCCTCTAGCTGCAGTTAGAGTCACAATACTATCATCTGTTGGGTACAATTTTGCAAGCCCAAAGTCAGATATTCTTGGATTGAAATTTTCATCCAGAATAATGTTGTGAGGCTTTATATCAAAATGTAAGATCTGCATGTCACACCCCCGATGTAGATAGTCTATCCCACGGGCAACTCCTAGAGATATGTCGAACATTTGTTTGTAACTCAAGGAAACAATTCCTTCTTGTGGAAATATGTACTTGTCCAAGGAACCATTAGGCATGAAGTCGTATACCAAAGCACGTTTTGAGCCCTCAACGCAGAATCCAATGAGCTGCACAACATTAACATGGTGAATCCTTCCAATTGTGGAAACTTCACTAATAAATTCTTGCCCACTAGTCATGGACTTGTGCATAATCTTTACTGCAACAAAAGGACCACTACGAAGCTTTCCTTTAAAGACAGTTCCGTAGGCTCCTTCGCCTAGTTTTTCCTTGAATTTATTAGTCATCTTCTTAATCTCAGAAAAGGAGTACTTAATTGGCACAAGGTTGCTCTGCGTTTGCAGGAAGTCTTCAATTGATTGATACATAGATATGTGTCGTCTTCTCCATTTATACACGATTAGTGCTATCAGGAAAATGAATCCACAGAAAAACCGGAATGACAGAAGTGAAACTGCATAATATCAGAAAGAAAAAAGGATAAAGGATTTGACTAAAAGCTTCAAAGCTTGTTTTCACAATTCAGAGTGTACCAAGAATGCTTAATCTCGTTGAGTAAAATAAGAAGACTCACTTAGAACTATTCCGCCGTACAGTATTGTAAGAACTGTAAGAATATGCAAATCACAAAGAAAAATTACGTTAGAGGAAACAAATTTGGTAACAACTTGACGAAAGAGCTTACAGATATGTGGTACAATGAAGAGGGATTGTAATTGGAAAACATATTGAAGTTATTGCACTCCAGTTTCAAGTACGTACCACCATAGTAGTGGATGCTACCTGCATTATCCAAAAAAGAAGGAACTTGATTAAAATAGAGATGCTACATCTTAAATAAGTTACTATGAATGAATACTGACCGCAACTATGGCCTGCTTTAGTTGAAGACTTAATCTGTGGTAAGGAATGACACCTTAAATTTGAAAGTAAAGTTAAATTGCTCAGATTCTAGGTGCAGCATTGAGGAGATACTTCTGTGCTCAAAATACTAATACTCCATCCATTTCAGTCTATGCGACACTATATCCTTATTAGCCCGCTCCGAAAAAAGTACACATTTCCATATTTGAAAAAAATTAACTTTACACTCTTGATTTACTCTTAATAAGAAGTTTTTATAGTCACACAAAAGTAATGACATGTTTAAAGCTATAGTGTGAAAAGTTTTCATCTCTTTATTAATCCATGCCGAATCAAACTATATGACATAAATTGGAACAAAAGTAAGTTTAACAGTAGGATTTGAGGGTTATGAGTTCTAATCTTATCATCAAACCCTAGCTTGTTCTAGTTAATGAGTTTGCAATTAAATATTTTACATATGTAATAGATTTTTTAATACAAATACACAGTTTAAGCAAAAGCTACTGGATTTGTCCGAATCCCTAGCTACAACACTACCTCCGCCCTTGTCAATCAGGACTCAGAACAAACCACATATTCAAGTCAGCAATGGAATTTTGTCAAACAAAACATATGGGGAAGGGCCGAAGGGGAATCCAACAGTTGAACATAGTGAACGGTAAAATGAGTCTTGACTTACAAGGGAGGGGAAGATCCATCCCCGTATCGTCGTAGCAGCGATGGCTGCAACTATAGCCGTCGCCATCAGCAAAACAGTTGCCTTGACTCGCTTCACATTCTCTACACAAGAAGGTACGCTTCCAAGAAAGCTCAAACCCATATCTCAGGGCATCCTGAATGCTCGATAGAGTAGTATTATCACCCGAAAGCCCACGACCCGAGGCCCAGGCCACTATTTCCATGCTGCAACTCTCTGCCAAATCCGAAATCGACATGTCCTCTCCTATGGCCACATAACTATGACTTTGGGAGGAATTCGATACCAAAGTTTTATTCTTCGATCCACAGAAAGTAGTCTTCACATATCGCGAAGAATTTACGGTGGCTAAACAATTGACATATATAATGGGAATGTTGGGAGCAAAATAATCAAAAGGCGAGGTGCTAGGAACGTCTGTGGTGAAGTAATTGGGAAAAATAGTGCAGTTCGTGGTCTGATTCATCAAACCAGGGTCAATTGCTCTGATATAGAAGTTATCATAGTTGATTTCCAGCACGTTATATTTCTTTGACTCCAAACTTATGACAGTACGATTGTTCTGGCAATCAAGCTGGAACCTTGAATCTCCGCAATTCTGGGGATCAACTCTTAATCTAAAAGGAAAACTAATATGAATATCACCACAAGAAGAAGAACACCGAGTAGTGTTTTGGGCTTTGGCTATATTCGTGCAAATTACAACCAGTAGAACAGTAGCAATCAACAGCCATCTTCTTGCCAACATCATATCTGCAGATCGACTATGCTACCTCTGTTGTGTCATTTCTACGACATAATCAAAGGTATCAACGAGGTTGCTTCCTTGAATCTATAATTGAACAAGCTAATAATGCACAGGATTGAACTGGTCGTAGGATCATATCAAGGTTAAAAGCTAAAAGTCAAAAGTCAGTTGGATATATCGTGCAGTGTTATTTCGGTTTTACTTTAATCTGCTAGTGCGCGTTTCAGTGGAAGTTGACTTAGAGTGCTTTGAGCGGGGATAAGGCGTGAGGTGTGGTCAGAAATGTAGGCTGTAGCCCTTTGTTTCTAGGGACAATTTATATTTAATTACACACCTAAATCTTTCAGGTGACGTATGATCCCCATAAACTATACGGAAGTGAAGTGAATTTACACTTTTTTCTACTAAACTAGCGCAGAAAGGTGTAAGGTTTGGAGTTTGGTCGGCGGCTAAAATTGGAAATAGGGTATGAATTAGGAAAGAAAGGGAAAAGGAAATAGGGTTATGAATTAGGAAAGAAGGGTATAACTAATTGTGAACACCTAATTTTGACCGTATTTGAATTTTTTCTCGCTTATCTCTTCAATACCTCACTTTTCACCCATCTTTCCCACTTTCCCTTGTCCCCTACGTTGGTCCCCCCCACTCTCTTTTATTTCCTCACATCCATCCCCTTCGTTCCCCACTTCTTGTCCCCCACTTTGTTCTCCACTCACAATCCCACATCCCCACTCCATTCCACTCATAATTCCACTAAGCCAATTCTCATTTTTCTCCACTCAAAACCCACGTTCTCCACTCCAAAGGGGAGGAACAAAAAATTACCAATTGTCTTCTCTATAAAGAGACAACAAAGACTTAGTGAAAGGGGGAGAAAAAAGAAAAGCAATAATTCAAGTAAGAAGAAACGAGAGGAGAAGTTCAAAAGACAGAGACGAAAAAAAGGGATGACTTCTTCTTAACAGAGACAGAGGGTATACACTCGATATACGGTCAGTATACATTCTATATACACTAGAGATACTCTCGATATACACTGGATATACAGAGGCAACCAACGAAAAGAGGGTCGTCTTCCTCCTAAAAATTCTACATCTAGAGCTTAACATCCACCATAAAAGAGCCATGAGAGCTCATCTTTTCCACCTGAAAAACACCCCAAAGTCCTAGCCAAAACCCAACTAAAATACAATGAAATTCCAGCGTGTAATCATAGTCGAAAAACCCATGTGAAACGTCACTGCTTCAGCCGCATACCCGCCAGATCTCTCACCAGCTTCGTCCGCACTGTCGTCGTCTCCCATCTCTCGTCCATTGCTGCTTCAACCTGAAGCTAGCTCCTAAACCACCCTTTAACGCCACGAAACAGCCCCAAGGTCTTTGAAAATCCTAGCCGTCGTTGAGGTGGTCGTTGTCTGAGGTTCCGTCGATGAGATCGACGATATTTGGTTATAGTTCTAATGATTTGCTGTATAGGTTGGAGGAGGATTGTTATCATCATATCAAATAAGTACTTTGCTTTGCAATACTATAGGTTCTCTTCCTTGTGTTTATTTTATCTTATATTCATTTTACTTGTTTGGTGAAAGATCTTGATTATATTTTGCTTCTCTGTATTAGTTTTGTTCATGTAATTCGCATGGTATGGGTGTTTCGTCTTTTATTTTGTGTGTATGGTAGCTTTTAGGAGTGGGCGAAATACTCCTAGCTAGGTTGAACAAACATAAAAGGGACTATCTCATGACTGTCATTCATTTTCGTACAGTTTTAGCACTAGTCAATAATTTTTACACTATAAGACTTCCTCGTTGAATAGATTTAACTATTGTGTTAAGTTAGGAAATGAGTTCTTCTTTTTGGTTGAGTAATAGTAAGTACTACTGTTAGTGAATTATCTTTTTTCTAGTTTTAATCCTTTGTCCATTGTGGTAAATAAATCATCTTTGAAGGAAGTGTATAATTCATTTTACAAGGGGCAATTTTCACAGAGCTATAGTACAAAGTTGGCTCGAGAATAAAAAGTATATTTTGCAGCCTTGTTTTGTGATTTAATCACTCTTTAATTTACTGTTGTTCTTGATATGTGTATATAAGTAATATAGAGTAAATAATGTTTTTAGTTTGCTTTAGGCACGTTAATTATATAATTATCATGGCTACTAAAATTCGGGAGTACATTTCATGTGGCCCGGTTCTAATTTCCAACAATGTTATATAAAATGTGTCGTGAACCACAGGTGCATTTTATGTAGCGTGGTTTACGATGTGTTTTAAATAACTTTGAATTTTTTCCGGATATATTAAGTATTTTTTGCTTTTTGCTTCTTTTTTTGCTTTTTGCTTTTTACTTTTTCCTTTTTGCTTTTTGCTTTTTTGCTTTTTGCTTTTGCTTTTGCTTTTTGCTTTTTGCTTTTGCTTTTTGCTTTTTGCTTTTAGTACCAATTATGGGTATGTATGATCCATTTTCATGTTAGGACCATTTTGAAAGATCACTAAATGAAAAAAAGTGTTAGAATACGATTTTAATTTAATCCCAACAATTCATCTCATATATTTTGTTTTAGTAGCCTCTTTGTTAATTAATTTCACATTGAGACTCTGGTACAAAAGCATCTGCACTATGTTGATCCATACTTGTTCATTATATTGTAGTAATTCATATGTGGGGATGTATATTTGTATGATCTCAAGAAAAAGAAAAGGAAAATAGTCATACTTAATTACTTACCTAATTGATACCACTACTACTGCTGCTTGTAATTCAAAATAAGAAAAAGAAGATTAACGCAATAGATGGTTGATTAGTCATGAATATCGTTGGTTGATTTGTCCATGTGGTTATCTAATTTAGGAATAATAATAATTCAAGAACATCGTAGTTTGCTTTAGGCTCGATTTAGACTAGTATTGTGATTATGTATACGTTCCCGTAACATAATTGCGATTTTAATTCCAAAAAGTAACTCGAGGGATGCGTTCGCGCAACTTCAACCAAACCTTTCTTAATATAAATAAACCAAGCGTTATTAATTGTGGACACATTTGCGTGACATGATTTTTTGACGCGCCAAAAGAAAAGAGTATACGTACGCGTAACTCAATTCTTTAATTACAAACAAATCAAGTGATTAAAAGCGGTAAAAGGTAAATGCACATAGGTTTTAAAATAAGTAATTAGGCAATTTTAGCCAAGTATAAATCACTAAGCGACCGTGCTAGAACCACGGTACTCGGGAATTCCTAACACCTTCTCTCGGGTTAACAGAATTCCTTACCCGGATTTTTATGTTCATAGACCATTAAATAAGAGTCAACTTACTCGATTCGGGATTTTAACCGGTGACTTGGGACACCATAAATTATCTCAGGTGGCGACTCTGAAATAATTAAATAATCTCATTTCGAATAATGTCACTTAAATTAAAAAAACTCCCTTATACCCCTCAGGTGTGTAAAAAGGAGGTGTGACAGCTCTGGCGACTCTGCTGGGGACCGAACCCAGAATCTCTGGTTCAGGGTTCAAGAATTTGAGCTTAGAATAATTGTTATATTTGGCTTTATTTTTTTTATCTAGTTTTGTCCACATGTTTGTGCTTAATGTGCGAAATTTTACTTTTTACCGCTTTTATATTATCTGAAATGTATATATAAATTGTTACGAAACCCCTCTTCTTTCTGAGTCTTCTGAATTTATGGTGCACGTGCGCGTGACCCACCTTTCTGTTAGAAGGCATACCAAATAGAACGAAGTTGGGTCAAGTAACTAGGCCGGGTAGACTTTTGTGCTCCCGGTACGTTGCCCCCACTTCGGCTCGAGCTGTCTGCTTGGGTAAGCCAAGTCTAGAACAATAAACTCAGGTTTTAAACCTAGTATAACAAAGCCTCATGTCGGATCCCTAGTAGGAACGCTTGTTTGCATCACGTGCATTTGACTTTGGGGACTCAACACATGGGTTGGGTCCGTCTAGGACAGGTGCACCCAAAATAACAGACCATCTTGATGCATCCTATGTGCTACATGTTGCATTTATTCAAGGTAAAATGGTCATTTGGCGGACCAATAATAGTTGAGGGTAAATAAAAAAAAAAAAAGAGTGAAGTGTGGGGATAAAGAGAGTTGGGCCCAATATGTTGTTAAAAAAAGAACTTGAAATTTCAGGAAAAAAAAAAAATTTTGCACTTTTTCGTCATTTTTTGAAAATCAGAAAATCAAAAAAAAAAGAGAAAAAGAAAATCCAAAAAGATTTTGCATGTTTCATCATTTTTCAAGAAAAAGCAAAAAATAAATATGTTATCTCTAAATTAGTTGTTTTTTTTAATTATCGCCCGTATCCAATCTGCCCGAACTACGCATACCTGATTCTCGTCTTTCGGGGCGTGATACGTAGGCAACCCACATAGGGTCCGGTCTTCCTAGTAAATCTCAGGTTCTTGTCTTTGCGGGGTCTTAGCCAAATTTTGTACTTCTAGCCACCTTTTAGCCAAATAAGCCATTTTGCAAAAATAGCTTCAATCATGTCTTGCATGTGTCTTAGGGAATGTTATTGTCTCACATAGTGTTGGTTTAGATTTTCTTATACAGGTATGGATTTATTTACCGAATTTTGAGCATGACAGATACCCCGTGACCATCCGGTCAGGATTGCATTCAGGAGTCGCTTAAGGAGATTTTTACATTTGTTATTTTTATTTTATTTTTATGTTTTTTATGTCGTCTTTTACTTTCTAGTTTTGTACAGTAATGTCAAGTATTTTGTTATTGTATTTTCTGCTTTATATGCGAAAATGTGCTGTAACCCAAAAATCCAAAAAAGAGATGTTGCATTTTTTTTTATTTCCGTTATAAATTTTCCTTAGAATACTAATTCTAGAAATGAAAAAAAAAATAAAAAATTTGAGGTTGTTTTTCCTTTAGGCAATTAATATCTAGAACTTAAAATGAATTATTTTTATGTTTCCTTTAGTATATTAGGACCAAAATTCAAAAAAAAAAGAGAGAGAATTTTATTTTAGTGCTTCTTTAAAAGCTTTCTTTAAGGTGTTAATTCCAAAATCCAAAAAGATTTTTCTTTTGAGGTGTTTCTTTGGGAAATTAGTGAAAAATGAAAAAAAAATTCTTTTTATTTTCATTAGAACTTTAGGATGTTGTACATAGAAAAAATATATTTTATCTTTTATTTATCATTAGAGTTTCCCCTTTAGGTAATCAAAAACTGAAATCCAGAAATATGTTTTATCTTTTCTCGCTGCGAAATCCTTCTTCAGGGATATCAAATGCAAGTTCAAAATATTTTTCTAT